ACCAGGCACATATACACCACACATTCGTACAGTGTAAACCAACCAACCGTTACACAACACGGATTTGAATAGTAGCAAATATAAACAATATTACTTTGTCTCTTTAATAAATCATGCTCTCACAATATCTACTTCTCCTAATATTGAGATACTCATTCAAAATTAATCCCCAATACTCCACCACCAGCAACTCAATTGGATTATTTGTGCAAATGGTCCATGATCAATACCCACTTTCATTCAGTCAGACTTTATTTATTTATTTATCACCTGCTTCACTCAATTCTTACTGTCACAAATGCAATTGTACGAAGACGTGTATATCTTTGACTCTCTCATTTCAGGCTATAGACATTATCAGAGTAGTTTTACCTCTTACAATCTGCTCTTTTGGCTATATATATCACATTGGTACGACCAGAACTCGGCTTCTTATGTCACATATCTCGGCTATCATTTTTTGTTAGCTATATCTTGTGTCTGCAGCACACACATTCAACGTCAACTGTCTTTACTGGGACCATCCATTGACCTCCCCGCTCTTATCATGTCTAAACCGTATCATATATCGTGCCTGTTCTCCATTTACTCTTTAATCATACATTCTATCCAAACTCTTGGACGCAAATGTCTCACTCATGGAATATTTCTCTCTTACTCGGCTAAGTTTTCTGCGACTTAATAAGCGTTATGATGATATCGGTATTTTGTATTCAACTCGTTATCAGCAACCCATTACAGTTCTGTTGCACTCACTCTCTCCTCCACGCCTACATCGATCACCCAATCTTTATTATACATTCTCTACAACATACCTTGAGCACACATTGCATGGCATTTAGTTACGAATTACCTATTTTCTTTCCTGAAGTGCAACCAGCCAGTCTAAAGTCGCCTTTCTCCATCACTGATACCCTCTTTTGTGTATTCGACATATATCTTCGTGGTCTCATATTTTGACTTCCCAATGACGCTATTTGTCTTACTTTGCCGTGTTTTTCTATGTGGTCACCACTCATAGAGGGTCTAATGGTACGAGGAGGGTACAATACGGCGGAAAAAAGGGTAACATGTTTCCACTTTCGTAACACAACTGCCATTCATTCCGCCGTAGTGGCGCGCAAAGCAGAGCAGTAATCTTTTCTCTGCTCCGACATCCCCAACGCACATCTCCCTTTCTTCTCACCTCGATTGACCACTCCTCTGCGCCTCACGTCCCCTGTAGTCTCGGACTTTGCTTCATATTTTACCTCGTCTCAACTAGCTTCCTCGTAACCTCTTATAACCCATATTAAAAAACACATTATAAATACTTGTAGCTACCTTTGCCCTCAAAATAGAAACCCCCTCCCAAAAAATACAATTTGTGACCATGTCAATGATTTTCACTTAATAAACTTTGAGACTATGTCTCCATATTAAAAGAAAAAGCAGTGCGTTTCTTCTTCCTTTAGAACAATATAAAGACATCTTACATTCAAAATAAAAAAATAAAAAAGTGGGGCTTTTCATTAACCTTGGTCCGATCGAGTATCTCATTACTAGTAATGAAGTATTGCAGAAAACTGGATCCAAGAGGAGAAGTCGCAAACGCTTAAATCTTGAAGACCTTTCTGATGCAGAATGCAAGAAAGGATTCTGCTTCACTTTTCCAGAGGTAGTTTATTCTTAACAAATAAACATTGATATATGTAAAGCTACAAACAAAAAAGCCTTTTACTTATTTTTTTTTTAATATTGCAGATAAAGCGAATGTCTGCTTTCATTAATTTGGATAAAATTCTATCGTTTAGACGCAGTGAGACTTATTATATTAAATTTCGATGTGAATTTGCCTTTGCATTGGTTTTGTACAGATACGCATTCCCACGTCGATATTGTTCAATGGAGAGAATGTGGGGAATTAACGAGAAGAACTTGGCTTGCACAGTAAACCAGTTCTCAGTTCTACTTTTTGACATCTTTAAGCATGGGTTTGAGTTTGACTCGCGAAAATTCTCTGAAGAGAACTGCGAGAGTTTTTTATGCTGCCATGTTTGCAAAAAGTAAGCACATGTCCTTCTAAAGTGTTTTATTCGGTTTTAACTAGTCTTTTATTGTATCTCTCTTTTTCTTATAGGCGGTATATACCCAAATGTAATTGGACTTATCGACGGCACAATGCAGAGGGTCTCTCGCATAACTATAAACGAGGAGCAGAAAGTCATGTACAATAGATGAAAGGTAATATATTAATTATAAGAAATGGATTAAACAGAAATGTAGCTTATAACAACCTATGTATTATATGCCATATTATTTGTACAGCACATCCATTGTCTGAAATACCAGGCGATTGCCATCCCCGATGGAATCACAAGTAAGCATCATTGGTCCTTTTGCGGGAATTAGCAATGACGCAAAAATCTTTGACCAGTCAAAGACCCTGCAGAGACCTATTGCTCATGTGGATCATATGCAGCCAGAAAATGACCCAGATCTCAAATATGCTTTATATGGTGACCACGCATACAAGAAGTATATGTACATTTAACGGCCTTTCATGACATATGAGATTGCTCAAGATGGTGAGTTATTTAAAATAGAGTCAAAGCAATCTAATAGCATAGTTCCAATAAATGTGGTACAGATCTGATATGTATATCTTTAGACCGCAGAAAGGAATGGAATACTGCGCAATCCTGTTAGAAACATCATTGTCGATGATTTACTAGGTAGGAGCCATCAATGTTTTTTTTAATGTTACATATCGCCTGACGCGGCGTTTTGAGAATACAGGTTCTGGAGCTTGTTGTCAGTACGCAGTCAGATCTACAGAATGACATAATGAAAGATGTTCAGACGTGTTATTCCCCCTCATTAAAGTCACTGCTTCCTTCCCTCCTGTTTTAGTTGAGGTCCAAAATTACCATTGATCCCAAATTTATACAAAGAACAATAGAATACTGCCTTGCAGTTAACAAAGAGCATGGGATTTTACCAATTGTTATTGCCTTTGGTATACACCCTACAAAAGAAAATGTAACCAACGATTTAGTAGAAAGTAGCCAAATCATATACGAAAGAATATCCTTGTAAGCCATGGGCTAGATATTTTTTTTTAATATTCTGGATCCTACTATTATCAGCGACTATGTTCATGAGCAACCACTTAAACCATTATTTGCAGTGGAATACTTTTTTACACAAGCAAAAAAAAAGAAAAACATTTGTTGAGTTATAGACAGCAAGGAACGTGCCGATGAGACAGTACAACTGCTTTATAGTATTGCAAAACAAATTTCTGTAAACGAAGTTACCTTGGAAGAACGAACAATCGACGTTCTTTTGAATATGTGTGTGTGTGTGTGCACAAACACAAAAAACAGTTTCATAAAATCAGAAAAGCACTAGAGCTTGAAGATGTGGAAGAGCCAAGAAAACGCACAAGAGAGTATACAAGAAGATGGGTATGCATATTTGGAAACACGCGAGACAAAGTATCGACATACATCTTTGTCTGGACCTTTAGATCTACCAGAAGAAGCAAAGAAAAAGAAAAAGGAAAACTTCTAAACAAACACTAAAGTGCTTGAAAAGAGCCTGGGATGTTGAATGTCAACTGAATAAACCACTTAGCTTATCCTTGTTGTTATTGTTGTTTTATTGATGACGCTGGTTTCAGTGCAAAATCTTTAGTAGAGCATCAAAAATAAAATAAAATAAGAGAGATAAAGTGCGAGCTGTAAAAAGTCCTTGGATTATAGCCAAGCGTCTCTACTTTGGTGAGACTAGAAAAGCAAACAGATACGACAAGCCAGTTAGGGAAAGCTATTGTCAATCCAATTCCTTGTTTCACAAAACGATAGGCACAAATCGAGTGTCAGAAACTATTAGGATAGATTGATCAGGTCTATCTTTGAGGTGGTCACAATATGGAAGTCTGTGTAGTCTTGATGTATTCTATAAAGTGTTTTTGGCTTGAAGACCATAATGCGTATATACCCCTTTTTTTTTTATATTATTATTGCTACTATTATTTCTGGCTGAAATGGAAGAATAGATAAGGATAGTAATAATACAGTACTGTGCATTATAATGCAATACTATGACTGTGTAATAGGTACTCTTTAAGATAAATATAAATTATTATCTAATCACGAGTAATCTTGGCAGAAAGATGACGCTTGATTTTTCTTTCTTTGATCAATGGACCGGGACTAGTTGTCCCAATATTAACACAAGATCTCTTTCCCCCAAAAAAATAAACTGTATTTGGTTGCATTCATAACCAGGCACTAAAAGTACTTCTTTTCGTATTTTGTATTTTTAGCCTGCTGTGGATTTAAATGCAATATATAGATATTAATCCTACATTCTACATACTACCTTTTGTATATACAATAAAGTGTCCAAAATAAGAAATCATTTCATCATATGCAATCATTCACTCTGCAGCAAGTAAAGAAAAAAGAAAAAAGAAATAAAAAGGATTGGTTTCTAATAAGCTTTCTTTCTTTTTTTTTTCTTTTTTTTTGAAGTATTGCCTAACGCCTCCTTTTACTTTATTTGGGTTTTATTTCGGATTCCGATTCCAGTAAGTATAAGCGGGGCAGGAAAAAGGTTTAGTCTGCAAACTCAGGTACCAGAGCACTAAATTCTTATTTTATTTTTTTATATATATATATAAAAAAAAGAAAGAAAAAAAAAAAAAGAGAAAAGAACGATGGCTTTATCCTTTTCAACATGGCCATGAGATCCTTCATTCAACGGTATCAACGGCAAGTTGCCGAGAATCCCATGAGAACATTTGGGTTGCAGGCAGGTAAAAGATAACTGACTCTCTCTCTCTCTCCTTTTTTTTTTCTTTTACATTGATAAAATGAACATTCCTTAGCTTTAATGTTCTCGATTGGTGATGTGCTTGCTCAACAAGTTGTGGAAGAAAAAGGGTTTCGTAACCATGACCCTGTGAGAACACTACGAATGGGGGTCTATGGTTGTTTTGTTGCCGGACCTGTTACTGGAAAATGGCATCAGTTTCTTAACAGGACAGTAACAATCAAGAACAGGGCAGGATGTGAGTTTTTCTTTCAATTGTTAACAAAAGCGGGCCCTATCTACAATATATTATATATATATATATACATTTTTATTAATCTATAGGTAATTTTTTTTTTGTTTTTTTTTTTTGTTTAGCTATTGCGACAAGATTAGCTATTGATCAGCTATTCTTTGGTCCTACCCTGCTCTTCTTGTTTATGAGCGGCATTAGTATTCTAGAAGGACAGACCCTGGCTGGTATCAGAAGTAAATTTGAAAATGTAAAGAAAATTACACGCACAAGTATACAATATATATATATAATAGATATTCTCAAATTGACTCTAATTCTTCTTCTTTTCCTTAAATAATATATCATTTTAATTTAGAATTATGTGGATACTATGAAGAGATCATACCAGTTCTGGCCATTCTTCAACCTCATCAGCTTCACGTTCTTTCCTTATCAATACCGTCCTTTGGCCAGTAGCGGTGCATCGGTTGTGTGGAATGCCTACCTGTCTTTTGTCAATCAAAAGGCATGTCAAGTTGCAGCCAACACCCCTGTAGTACATGTAATGGCCGAAAGAATCCCATGATATTAAACAAAAAAAAATATTCTAGTTATAATATATACATATATATATATACATAGTATAATGTGTGTGTGTGTTTTTTTGATCATTTATTCGATACCTACTACTATCTCTCTTATCTTGACCTATTAACACACTCATTTTATATACAAGTTATATCTCTATTATTCACAGATATTTTCATTTCAAACCATATAGACCGAAAATACAAATAAATAAATAAATAAATAAATAAAAAGACTTTATATATGTATATTGTGGAGTATATTATTTCGGTCAATTTAGAGATATACAATACAATACAATACAATGCAAGCCCAAGACCAAGACCAAGGTAAAATAATAATAATTGATCGATTAATTAAAAGAGGGGTGGACAGAATACAACGATAATCTTGATTGTTCAGTTTTGATTGTTTAGTTTAGCTTTGATTGTTTGTCTGTGTTGTGTTGTGCTGTTGTATAAAAACCAACTAGAAATCACCAATACTATTCAATTCTTTATTTTATTATATATAAGGACACACAGGTACACAAGCACACAGACACAGACACAGACACAGACAATATTTGTTGTTGTTGTTGTATATACACAAACACACTATAGAATATTCGTACACGTGCGTACATGTATAAAATAATAATAATATATATAAATTATATAAATTATAAATATTAGTAGTAGTAGTAGTAGTAGTAGTAGTAATAATAATAATAATAATAATAATAATGACAATTATAGTAAATACGAATGGAATGGAATATAAGATAAGATAGGATAGGATGGAGGAGGAAGAAGATCAGATGAGATAGGCGGATGAGCGGATGAGCGGACGGACGGACGGACGGGTGAATAGAGACGGGTGAGACGGAAGGAAGGATGGACGGAGGTAATAAAATTCATAAAGGAATTTGATGATGATGATGATGAGGAGGAGGAGGAGGAGGAGGAGGTATGTATGTATATATGTATGTATGAGATTATAAGAAAAGAATATATATGGTTTTTTTTTCTTTCTTTTTTGGTGTTTGATGATGTACAATGAGATTCCTTTTTCTTATTGTTTGGCCTTTTAATCCTCTTCATCTTCATCATCTTCATCATCTTGATCTTAATCCTTTGTCATCAACTTCTTTTAAGAAAATAAAAAATAAAATAAAAATAAAAAATAAAAAAGATTTGTTTAGGGTGATTTAGTAGTAATGGTTCACACGTTCATCGTGGGCATTCAAGCGTTGGTGACTGTCTGAACGGTCTGGATCGCCATATAGATTGTAGTGATGGCTGTCATTGAGGTTTGAATTTGAATTTGAATTTGAATTGGAATTGTAGTTGGCATATGGTTCGTGTGGTTTGGATGAGTAGATGTACTGTTTGTGTTCTTCTTCTGTTAGATGGTTGTGGGATCCTACAATGGTGGTGGGCGAGTCGACGACCGAGATCTCGTCTAGTTTGATACCCGAGCGTCTTCGTTGGTGACGATCATATGCATCCCCAAGTGACCTAGCTCTACCCGACTCTCCAAGACTACTGCTGATGGTAGTGGTTGACCTTTGTGTGCAGAGGATTGTGATTGCGTTGGAGAGTGCGAGAAGTTCGATTGCAAGGGCGGCAAAGAGAACCAGATAGAGTTTACTAAAGTAGCTCTTGATGTAGTCGACCAGACTATTGTAGCATGGAGCCAGGTGCAGGACCTTGCCGGCTTGTGGGTTGCATTCGGAAGTGATGGCCGGGTGGTCCATGTTATTGTTGAATCCACAGCAATTGAACTGATGATAATATATATATGTATATATGTATATATGTATATATGTATATATAAATAAAGTTATTATTTAATTGTTTAATTAGTTACTTAATTACCTCGTCTTGAACATGTAGTCTGTATGATTCAGGGGAACTTGTCCAGAGAGGCGCAAGGTATCCTACAGGATCTGCAGCTTTCTTATAGACCTTGATGCCAATGACGATCTGGTATACGAGGGCTACGAGAACAACGAGAATATAAATCAAGAGCAATGCCTTTGAGCGAACGAATGCCTGGGTGATTCCTAGGATGGCTGAGACGATTATGATTCCTCCCAGAATTGCAACAACTAAATGTATATTCGGTTGGTTGTCAAGAATGAATGAGTATCTCTTTGTTTATAATATTTATATTTGTGGACATTACGGTAAAAGTAAGAATCTGGAAAGAGAGTGGATCCTTTAAAGTGTTCCTTGTATCCAAGTAGGCCAAACACCAGGAAGGCCAACCCAAGGCAGATAAAGAGTAGGTTGGTTACCAGAACATACCATCTACTCACACTATAATATTTTTATATTTATTTATATATAAAAGAGATATAGAATAGTAAGGATCAAGTAATAATCATCATTTAGCAAAATTAAAATTAAAATTAAAATTAAAATTAAAATTAAAATTAAAATAAATCAATCAATCCACCTTGAACAACAGGATGTCATAACTGCTGTAAATTATTATTATTATTATTATTATTATTATTATTATTATTATTATTATTATTATTATTTAATATAAATATAAAAAAAGAGTAAAAGAAGAAAGAAAGAAGCAAGAAGAAAAAGAAAAAGAGGGGGGAAGACAGACAAGTTTGGGTTCTGATTCTTATTCTGGAAATCAAAAAAAAAAAGAAAAGAAAAGATCAATTCAATTCAATTCAATTCAATAGGAGGGGGGAGTCAGTCAATAGAGTCAATAATGTTAATTGAATTGAATTGTACAAATTGAATTGAATTGATCGAATGGACTATCAGTAGAGAAAAAAAAAGTGCAATAATGAGCGTGTATGTTGTGTGTTGGGTCAAGGGAATAAAAAAATAAAAAGAAAGAAAGAAAGAAAGAAAGAAAGAAAGAGACAATATTTTTTTTTTCTCTTTTTAGTTTGTGAACCATTTAATTTTTATTTTTCTGATTTAAAATAAATAAATATATATAGTCTTGACTTGTAATTATGTGTTACTAGCACCATCTTCACATTTTTTTTTTTTTTTTTTTTTTTAGAAAAATATATTTTTAGTCTCTGCAAATCAAAACACTGGCTGCTAATGAGGTGAGTTTATCTTGTCAGAGACCCCGCCCTCTCTCTCTTTTATTTATATAACAAGAATATATCCTACAAAGGTAATTTTTGTTAATTTGTTTATATAAATAATTTTTTTTTTATTTTTTTTTGGATTTTAGGTTCGTGTCTTTCTCTGTCACTGGCACTTGGTTACTTGGTTTTGGTACCAGAACTGATACTAAAAAAAAATTGACACTGGTAACTGGCTCTGGTAACTTTCTATTAACTAACTAACATTACTTGATTTCTTACCCTATTTTTTATTTATACTATGTGCTTTCAATAATAAACGATTTCAATTTTTTGAAACCCGTACCAATAAGGCTCTCTCTCTTTTTTTTTTTTTTTTTATATAATTTTTTGGTTGGAAAATTAGGTCGAATGTTCAAAAAGATTATAATAAAAATAAAAAAAAGATTCTTATTCTTCTGTAGTATGTCAAATTATATTGGATCTGTCCAGCACAGTACATAGAAAATGATAGCCAATTGCAAAAAATTGGATCAAAATATCCTACAAGCTTTACTTTATATATATATAAAAAAAAAAAAAAAGATTCTATCCTTGTTGTGGTACATGGATTTGTTCTTTTCAAATCTTACCTTGGGTTTTATAGTCTTTTAATTAAAGTATTCACATAACAAATGCTAGTTCTTTAGTCTGTTAGGTTACCTTTAAATATCTAATTTTCTTTTCTCTTTCTTTGTTTATAAACACACGTATATATAATTATATGAATTAAGTTTTCTAAACAGAGATAGTGATGACGAGCAAGGTGTAGTTTTAATGACATTACATTACATATGATATAACCTTTTTTTTTTTTTTTAAAAAAAAAAAAAAGGAAATTAATTAATTAGTTAATTAATTTTCTTTGGGTTTTAAGGCTAATGAAGAAGAAGTGGAAGGTAAAGGTAGAGATGATGATGGTGAAGAAGAAGAAGAAGATGATGATGATGAAATTGATGAGCGCCAAGACCTCTTGGTTTTGTAAATCTCATTCCAGAATTGATTAACTTTTAATTCTCCTCCAGGTCCCCTTTTTTTTTTTGAATCATTTATATATATATATATTATAATAATAGTAATAGACAATTAAATTAATAAATAAATCGATCAAAAATATTTATATTTTATATAAGAAAGGGCTGTAATTGATCAAAAGGTATTAAACAATATTATATATATATGTATTTGGCTTGTAATACTCACAGAATCATTTCGGTTCGGCGTAATTTTACCTTGGGTATTTCTTTTACTATACTTTGCATCGTAATCTTGTGTCTATCATCTGTCTACAAACGAAGGTGTTATATAAATATATAATGTGGCTATAGAGCTTACCTTGTTGGCTTGAGGGCTATATAGACTACGTACAAAGCCAGATTCAGGCATGACGCGACGAGCACCGGCAAGACTGTGAGCAAGAATAGGTTGTCTTGGCTTTGTCACCTTTTGATTACCAAGACTTGAAGGTGTATGAAAAGATACTCCTTGTAATACCAACTTTTTTGTTGTTTTTGTTTTTTGTTTTCAATCAAAAAAAAATTAATATTAATATTAATATTAATATTAATATTATATATATTTTTTACCTGCTTCTTCATGCGGGTTATTTCATTCTCAAGGCTAATGACTCGCTGGTGATCAGCTTCTACCAACTTCAAGGTGTTCTTTTCATTCTTATTATCCTCTCTTTTTAAATCTCTTATTATCATATCTATCGGGTCGGTCTGTACTCCCTTGTCCTGTACCAACGAATACTGTCGGTTACCAACGAGGTACCTATTACGGAAAGAAGTACCAACAAAAGCCTATTTGTTTGTTTGTTTGTTTGTTTGTTTGTTTGTTTGTTAACATTATATCTCTTTTCTGTTTTTCTTATTGATGGTTCTTTCACCTGTGAATTGTTGTTGTTTGATGAGGAGGAGGAGGAAATGTTCAGTTGGTTTGATTCTGCTCTTTGTGGCCAGACATATTGATTGAATGCATTGACTAGATTATGTGCTGCTTCATATAGACTGCTAGACTCATTAGACGATTGTCGATTTGAATTGTCTTGATCCTGTGTCATTGCTAAACAAAGCTATACAGAATGCTTAAAAAGAAAGATAAAGAAGAGTAAAAAGGAAGAAAATGAAATATGTATTTATATATATATAATTGGTTATTTAATGACTGTCAATTGCTTTGTTGCTATGATTGATCTATTAAAATTAAAATATGTATAAAAAAGAATAGACTTGATTTGCTCAAAAGGAGGGCAGTCCAACCACAAGATCCAATATTCTTCATTTTGTTTTGTATTTCATACAGTGTTATTTATCTAGTGAATCTAGTGAGTCTAATTAAACAGGTTTGGATGAAACATATTAAATTCCTCTTTTTTTTTTTAAAAAAAAAAAAAAACAAATACTCACAAATATCACAAGCCATTTTATCAAGATGAATGTCAAGCAAGAAAGAAAGGAAACAAGGGTCGTAATTAAGTTTTCACTTCTTTACCTTTAAAGCTCTTTAGAGTATATGCTATGGATCATTAGAACCATAGTTAATCATATACAAACCTATCTAAAAACACAATACCAATACAATTCATCTACCTGTTGATTTTAACTGTTACCAAAAGTCTTATTTGTATTTGGCTTATTGTTTGTGTCTAACGTTTGAGATATAAAGACTCCAATCATTATCTTTCCCTATATTTGTTTTTCTTTTTCTTTTTTTGGGTATCATTACTGTAAAATTGACCAAGTCTTTAACCAATTCTTTACATCAAATATCTTTAGATTATTGAATCCCCTCTTTTCTTTTCTTTTTACACAACATTTTTATCAGTGTCTTTTGATTCTTGTCCTGACCTTTCAATCCTATTCCAATCTTTCCCCTCTAATGTCCAAACAGATAGCAATTATTGTATATTCACAAAGCTTTATTGCTATTTAATACTATAACAAAGTGATAGAAATCTAGACAAGCAAAAAAATAAAAAATAAAAAATATCAAGAAACAATAATCCTGATTGTTCAAATTCTTTGCCCTCTTTTTTTTTTTTTTGTGAATCGCACCATGAGTTCTTGATATTATTTTTAGAAACAATATGTATATAGTCAGCCAATTCATCATTCCAAATATTAACATAGGTACACATTTTTTTTTTAATTTCTTTAAAAAAAGTATGTAAGAGACAGAGACAGTCAGAGACAAAAGAAGTACATGTTTTTTTAAGAGAAATATGAAATTCATATATTTATTGGTATTGAAGACAAAAGAGCAACCACATATATTGTTTGTGGTTCTCTTTTTTTTTATATTTTATTTTAGGAGTTTGGTTTAGGGAGCTTTCTTGTTTGGGTGTGATAATTTTGATGATGTATAGACAATGCAGTGGATATTCTATATATATTTTTTGGTTGAAAAAGGGCTGGCTTATGATACAGTGTATAGGTGGGTATGTGGGTATTTTCTTTTACAGTGGTTGTATGTACAAATGATTGAAATCGATTTAAGAGGAGCGATAGGCGGCTGGTCTAATGCGGACTGTGACTGAAGGATGATCAAAGATAATTGAATCCAGGGCCATGGATTTTTCAGATACTGGGCAAGATTTGGAAAAGTTCTCGTCATCAGAAAGGGCAGAAACAAAGGAGTCATCAGAGATTGTCGATGAAGATGAAATCATTGAAGGTGCGACTGTGTTTTGGACTTTGTTACAGCTAAAGGCTTTCTTGACTGAAGCGAGGCCTTTCATGCATTGATCCATTGATGAAGTGAATGTGGAAACACGGCTTGTGGTATTAGTAGTTGAAGACTGGCGACGCTGGCACTTTGAGATAATACGCTTTTGGATAGAGAGGATCTGCATTGTAGAGTGTTGGTTGTGTGGTGTAAAGGTAAAGGTAAAGAAAGGCTTGGTAGAAGAGACGAGGTTAAAAGTATGTAATAAAAAGGAAAGAAGTGCAAAAATGTCAAGCCTTTATATACTATTTCAAAAGGTCCATGCTCGTTGGGTGTCAGTAGAGGTTTATATGCTTCTTCTTCAATTTCTTGCCATTTTTAGGCCAAAGACAAGGGGTCATCGTATCTGATGTTTGGCATCTATCGGAAAATACAGCCAAAAATCCTGATCCACAAAACCCACAGCCAAAAATCAAAATCCATGATCCATGATCCATGATTACCCCCCTATCGAGAATCAAAAACAAATTTGTCCCCTATATCAATTGATTCACGTCACCTTAATTATTCTCTATGAACATCTTTGATTTATTGCTTCCAAGATTTTCTGAGTCTGACTGGCCTATTGATATAAATGTGCAATTGGAGATAACTATCTATATATAAAGTTTTTATTTTTTCTAAAAAAAAAAAAAACACATAAATGTTTTGTAGAAATAAAGTCAATACAGAGTTGGTAAATACAATAATAGACAATTATACAACCAATACCTGTATTAGGTAGCTTTTCTTCTTCTTCTTCTGTTGACGGCTTTAGATAAAGGATTATATGCCTTCAGAGTTAAGGTGCTCTGGTAGATGTATGGCACAGTCTAAGGTTTCTTAAAGACACTAGATGTAGACACACTAAAAAGTTCAAAATAAAGTTTAAAAACATAAGTTAGATAATATGGATTAAAGTTCTTTTTTTTTGCATTTTCTTCTTCTTCTGTTTTGGACATAAGGCCCAGGTTCGTACTTGCGCTTAATATTCTGAGACTACAAGCTTACATTTCAGCTAGTAAAATTGTAACAAAACTACATGCTTAAAATTGTTACAGATTTCGCCTTTCCCTTAAGGCTTCTAACTCCGCATTGTTTGTGAACGCACTGGTTAGCCTTTTCGTTATACTAGTGGAGATTCAATTAGGACTAACCAGGTGTTCAATGAGGGTGTGATTATAAGGGTTTTTAAGATAGAAACAATTATATAGGATTTGAGAATCAAGGTGTAAGATCGTCTTTATTTCATGTTATTTGCCTTTGCTTTTATATTGTTTCTATCCTATTTTTTACATCATTGTTTTATCATTTTCTAAGGTTCGCTAAGTCTCTTAGTTCTCTACTAATGTCTTTAGTTCTACACTAATTGTCTTTAGTTTTGTTGCTATGATTTTATTCTTTTCTAATTTCAAAATCCGTCGCAACGACATGTTCATATAAAACGCCAAAAATGGGAGGAAAGTATCAGTGAGTTAAGCGAAGTTACTTGAGAGGCGAGATATTTTTAAAGACATAAAAAAGAAAGAGAATAATATTCAATGTTAACGAAATTATTTTCTAGTCGAAAAAGAAAATGAATGCCAAATTGATGCCTATTTTCTGCACAGACTGGTATTTTCTATAGCCATAGTGGCGGCTTTAAGAAGGCTAATGATTAAACCACAAAAGATTTAAAATTCTTTTATCCCCAAAAAAGCTTCAGATTATTATGCTACCCTTTTTCATTACTTAGTCATTCCTAGGTCCATATATCATTTTATAGATATCGCATTAGCTTTTTTTTGTCTGGTAGCTCGGGTACGTTCCTTGTTATCTTCTACTGTGAATCTCTTTTTAACAAAATCAAGACAACAGAAAAAGGTAATAGTAAAACAACAGCCAACCATATTATTATTATAGACAAACTTAGTGGCAAGAAAATGAATACTGGTGGAAAGACAATTTTAGTAAAGAACAAATTAAGGAGAGCTAGTTAACTACGTTGGGTCATTTTTACAGCTACACCACCACTTCAAAGTTGATTTTAATGAGCGATATCAAAAGAAATCCCGCCGTGCTATAGTAAACTGAATGAATGTCTCATTAGAAAATACACCTTGTCTACCTTACCAAGGAACACAAGTATAATAAGACAGCTCTCAAGTGTAATATAGTAGTACCAAAAACATTATTAATAATATTTTTTAAAGACAAATTTAAGATCAAAATCAAAGAGACAAAACATAATGATAATATCAAAGTCAAATGAGATCAAAATTTATTGTTCAAATTTTTATAAGGGGAATATAAGTTAGGTTAAATTAAATTAAGTATACTAAGATATTCCAGGCCATGCTAGTCCAGTCGAGTCCAGTCGGTTCCAGTCAAGTCCAGTCGGTTTTTTTTTTGGTCCATTTGATTTTTCTTTTGATCTTTTTTTTTGTCCGTTTTTTTTTCTTCTTTTTTTTTGTCCAGTCAATATAAGCTAAGAGTGATAGGAGGAGGAGGAGGATTTTGGTATTGAAAAATAATAAAGGGGATAATTTGGACTTTTTGTTTTTTTTGTTTTTTTGATTCTTTTTTTGATTCTTTTTTTTTTTGTCCAGTCAATTTCACGGAATAGTAATAAGAGGATGATTTTGATATTGAAGAGAATAAAAAAGATAATTTGGA